TGTTTCTATGAATAGGACCACCCAAACAGGAAAGCGTTTCCACAGTTTAGACCTTGGGACTGAGGAAGGGACCACCCCAGTCTGCTGTATCCTGAGCAGACACCCTGAGAATTGAGTTACACCCCTCTGCTGGGATAGTAACTGATGGAAGTTAAGCAGCCTAGAGAGAAGCCAGTGACACAAGATGGACATGGAAACGTTAAGGCTGAAGAAGTAATGACTCAGAAGAGGAGTGAAAGCTGGCTCTAATTATTTCAAGAATGTATTAAAACACAAATTGCTCGGTCCCACAAGTTCCCAGGTGATGCTGATATAGCTGGTCCTGAGGCCACACTTTGGGAACCGCTGCACTAAGTAACGAAATTGTAATTGGTTTTCTTTCTTTCTTTTTCTTTTTTTTTTTAGATGGAGACTCACTCTGTTGCCCAGGCTGGAGTTCAGTGGCATGCTCTTGGCTCGCTGCAACTTCCGCCTCCTGGGTTCAGGCAATTCTGCCTCAGCCTCCTGAGTAGCTGGGATTACAGGCACGCATCACCATATCCAGCTAATTTTTGTATTTTTAGTAGAGTCGGCGTTTCACCGTGTTGGTCAGGCTGGTCTCAAAACTCCTGACCTCATAATCCACTCCATCTTGGCCTCCCAAAATGCTGGGATTGCAGGCATGAACAACCATGCCTGGCCAGTTTGTTTTTTTTCAACTGTACTAAGTAAGATTCCACTAAGACCTGATGGCCTGTTTCTCAGTAAATCCACACTGGGAGGAATTTACTGGTTTTGAAGCCTCACACATTTGTAATTAAGATTATGTTCTTTCTAAAATTTCATATCGCTTAGCAGAAATTCAATCTTTCCTTTCTGACCCTTCATGTTTCTTAATAGTTCAGCTTCATGAAGCAGACTTCTGTTTGCACTTCATTTTCTGGCATCTTATACAGCAGACATTTTTCCTCTGGTCTTCTACCACTTTGCCTGTATTTTTCTGTTATGTTCAGCAGATCAAGCTTCATAACATATTAAGTTGTGAGCTACCTTTATCAAATTATATCTGGCGCCCCACATCTAAAATAGTAAACACTGATCTAATCCTGTCCCCAAATGCCCACACTGAGCCCATCATCCCCAGAGATCTATTAGGATGGAAACAGCTGCATTCAATTCCTGATTAATTTTCTTTTCTCTTATATACTTAAAACTTCAGCCTTTAGATCCCACTAGGAAAATTACCAGCATATGGGAATGCATATAAATGACATGCAAAGCAATGCAAATTAATACAAAACATACATCTCTAAATTGCTTGAGAAAAGTCTCTAAGCCTCAACGTTGATGTTATTTGCTTTGCTTCACTACACTGGCAAGCAGCGGCTGGATCCTTTTATTACAGTTAATTTTATACAGCATTGAGCACCTGCCACTTGTTGACACATTAAGTATCCTGGCCTTAACTTTACCACTCTTTGGCTGTACAACCTTGAACAGGTTCTCAACATTCTCCAGGTTCCAGATTCTTCAACCAGAAATGATAGAAATGGCATCATGATAATAAAACCACCAGCACTAAGGTTTATTGAGCACTTACTATGTGCCCAGCATAAGGCACACACTGTGCATGCATAATGCACACAGGCAGTCCTTACAACAGCCCACAAGGAGGTGCTATAGAGCACGTACCCCTAAGGTTCGGTGCCATTTCAGAGACCAGGAAACCGACAGTAAGGTCAGGAAGCTTGTATCAGGTCCTAAGCTAGAGAGTGACAGAGCCAGACCCAGAAGCTGAGCAGTCTCACTGCAGAGGCCTTGCTCTTAGCTATGCTGCCGGCTCTGTTGCGTGATCATACATTTTTCTCCTAAGCATTACATTTGTATGATCTGTGAAGTAAATCACTCAGTCATAATGTGCTTTAAAACACTGTTTCTGTAAGATGTTGACAGTTTACATGATATGAACTTGATATCAAAATAACATCACAATCCAAGGGGGTAGGATCAGACATCCTGTGTGCTCAGCTTCTCCTTCCAACTCACTCCATCGCAATCACACATGACTGAGTCTCCCTCTCCTTCCAACTCACTCCATCACATTCACACATGACTAAGTCTCCCGCATCTTAAATTACCTAGCCCTCTGTCCCACCTCTCACTCTGGGAGCAGCTTCCAGTCCTCAGCCACCACCCCCTCGTCCCAGGATTCCGACTTCTAGTACAGATGGCCATCTTTGGAGAGTCAGCCAGCAAACGTGCTATGCGGCCACTCAGGAGCCTCGAAAGCTGCCCAGACTCAATAAAACCAAACTTGTCTTTCCTCCTCCAATGTTCCCGTTTCTGTAAATAGCAGCACTCAAGCTTAGCGGGAGTCACGCTGCACTCTCACACCCTACACAAAACTCATCTGCACTCTCACACCCTACACACAACTCAGCCCCAAGTCACTCCAGAGCCGGCCTTGAATCCACCCACTGTGTCATCCCTACCGCCACTACCTCAGCCTCAACCGCCTGGCCTCCTGCACCCTCTGACCCAGCCCTGTCTACTGAGGGGCTCCTCAAGTCCATTCTGCACGTGACAGCTGGAGTTTTGTGTTTTTAATCCACATCTCATCTGCATACTAGCAGGTGTGAAACTGCCCGCTCTCTACAATGCCCCTTAGCACCACCTGGCCCTGGTACCTGCTGGCCTCTCCGGGTGCCATTCTCCATCCTCCTCTCAGGTCATACTGAACCTGTCTTTCTTCCAACTTTCAGGCTCTCCTCTCCTCTGGTCTCAGCATACACCATTCCCTGGGGTGGGAATACTCCCCATTCTCCCCCCTCCCCTCCCTCATGGCTGCTTAGTTTACACAGCTCCTACTCATCCTGGAGCCCATCTTCAATCTCCTCAGCAAGGCCTCCTGCCTCAGCACAGATGCAGTGAGCTGCAGCACCTCTGAGCCTCACAGCAGCCAGTAATCCACACAGGTGGACTGATGAATTCACTTTTCAGCCTTGCTTTGCTCATTTTTACTGTCTCACTGCATTCTCCCTGCCTTGTAGCCTAAGAAGGAAAGACTCTGAAGCTGACTCCGTTTTCTCTCTCCTATGTGGTGCTCTGATAAGCCCCAGGTCACCAGGTCGCGCTCCCAGCACCCGTGGCTCTAGGGTGACACAGAAACAGCACGGTCAGGTACAGAATCCCCTACCTGACCTCTCTCCCCCTCCCTTCCTAGAAAACCACAGGTCATTCAAAGTCAGTTTGGGAAGCACCTGTATTTATGGCCTGCTTATCTTGAAGGCACTTGGCTAGGTGCCATAAAGTGCCAACTCTGACCGATTGCCCGATTATGCCATTCACCCCTACCTAACTCTGTGCAGGAGACACGACATTTAGCAAATAAGTGTAAACTTTTTTCCTCCAAAGAAAAGAGTATAAACCTTCTTATCCCACCACCCCATAGCAGGTAACTCCTTTCAGTCCCCACAGAAGCAATTCAGTGGGCACACAATTCTTTGGCTACTGTTTCTATCCTGATGCCAGTAAGAGACAATCAACATCTTAATCGGTCATTTCTCACACAAATTTGGATTCTTAGAAATTGCAACATAGGAAATGTCTCTATAATGATTCCCTTTTAAAGATTTTACCTCCTGAAGACACTATCAACAAAAGCTGTCAAAATGAACTTAGTTTCTAGAATATCTTAGGCTGACTGATGCTTGAATAGGGACATGTTTTATGCATGCAAGATCAAAAAAGGTCACTTCAGTCTACTCACATGAGACAATTAAATGCATTATATTATCCCCAAATATGTTAATTTCCTGGTTTGTTGTTCTACCATTTTTAAAGACCAAAAAAAAAAAGTGCCCCAGGGCCAATATCGCGTCTCCGCCTGCCCAGCAAGGGGATAATACACTTTTTCCCCAGGCTACATAACTTGGAAACCTCCCGGCCCGGGAAAGCTGAGTCCTTAAATTTACAAAACACCCACTCCCCCGTTTGCCTAGCACCGTTTCCTACGTGAAGGCTGCAAATGGACTCGAGCGTCCCGTTTCTCGGCTCGGATCCCAGAGGCGACACCACCTCGCAGAGGGACGATCCCGGCCCGCTCTGCGGCACGAAAATCTGACCTTAAAAAGCGCAGAAGCTGGTCACTGGGAAGGGCGCGGCCTGGAAGGCGCGGCCCGCAGCTTCCGCCGCCAAAGAACATCTCGGAGCCCCCTCCAGCCCCAGTTGCCCTAGCGCAAAAGCCCCGGGAGCAGTCCCTTCACGCGCCCCGCGTCCCTGTCCGGAAGCTCGGGGCTCGGGCAGCATCGCTCGTCCCGGGTGGTCCAGGGCTGAGGAGAAGCGGTGGGCGGCTCGGAAAGGCGAGGTCGGGAAGCTGGGCTCAGCAGCTCCTCGGGCCCCCGGCGCCCCGCACAAGCGCGGGCCAGGCGGGGCGGCGCTGGGTCGCGAAGGACCAGGACTGCGGGATGCCCCTGCTCCCGGAAAAGGCGCGCCTAGGAGCCGCGTTCTCGGCACTCGGGGAGAGTCCCGGGAAAGCTCCGCGCCGGCGCGCCCGCGACTCCAGCTTGGCGGCTCCGCTCCGCCCGCCAGCCCAGGAAGCCGGCGCCGTGGCCCGCGCCAGTTATCCAGGGCCGCCCTTTCCCAGCGCTGGCTTCGGGGAACTTCTCCGCGTGACCCCAGGCGGCGGCTGCCGCGGGAAGCCCCGAAGTTGCGGCGTCCACTAGGCGCGCGCCGGGGTCACCCACTCGGCCCGCGACCCTGTGTCCGCCCGCCGCGCGCCCTGATCGGCCCCCAAGACTCCCGCAGGCGCGGAGAGAGGCCGGGGTTCAGCCGGGGTCCCCGCGCGGCTCCGGAAGGGCGCCCCCGCCTGCCGCCCGCAGAGGGACGCGGCGCTGAAGTTTTTCCCGGCGGGAAAACGAAAGTCGTGAGGAGCTGAGGGTCGGGGAGTCCCAGCCACCCCGCGGCGAAGACGGGGCTGAGACCGGGCTAACAGCTCCAGCCCCGTGGCTAACTCGACTTACGAGAGGGAGCGGGGCAGCCCCGAACGCGGGGTCCGCGCGGCTGCGGAGGCCGCCCCGGCGGGGTCCGCGGGCTGCGCTCTGGGTTCCCAGGCTCTCCGCAGCGGCTCGCTCTCGCCCCCTCCTCCGTCGCCCCTACTGGGGAGCCGCTCTCGCCCAGCCCGGGATGGGAGAGCGCCGAGCGGCCCCCGTGACGCGCGGCGAAAGGAGGAGTGCCGCCGCCGCGCTCCCGCAGAGGGAGCTCCCCGCCCTGCGCTCCTGGTCCCAGCGCCGCGCTCCGGACAAAGTTCCCAGGCGCGCGCGGTGCTCTCGGCTCTCCGCCGCTGCCCCGAGCGCCATCCAGCTTCACTTCCCTCCCACATTAGACAAGAACTCTGAGGTCAGGAGAGCCAAGTGACTTGCCCAAAGTCGTTCAGAAGGCAGTGACACAGCAAACTCACATCCGCGGCTCCTTATTTCCCCCCGAACGCCGGGCTCTGCGGAGACTCAGGCCCTGCGGGAATCGCCCAACCAGGCAGAAGGCAGCTTGCTCTCATAGGTAAGATGAGGAGTGTCCCACGCAGCCCGGAGAAATATCAGCAGCGTGGGAAGGTGGAGCTTTTTGCTCAATAACTATAGAGTACAAAGTTGTTTTTCAGTCAGCTCCCACATGCCAAATCGGCTTCCTCTTTATCCTCAAGTGAGGGAGAGCGTGGCGGCTGTGTGGACGCCATTTGGGATCACCAAATAAGTGCAGGAGAGAAAGCACACAGCTATTAAACCAATTGGCGGACACGGAGGACTCGGCCTTCGGAGCAGGTTCCTGGGAATATTCGAACTTTGTAAAGCGGGTGCGCCTCGCTGTGCTTGCTATTCATGCGCTTCCAGGAGTCTCCCACGAAGCTCCACGACCTTTCGGGGCCGGGGGCTCCCAGGGCTTGGCCTTTCAGGGCAGCGAGTAACACCAGACAAGTTAATCCCAGTCGGTTCGTTCCTGACTCGAGTCCTTGCGTCAATCAGTGTTGACTGAGGGCCCCGCAATGTGCATGGCTGTTGGGTGGGGAGCTGGGTAGGACCCGGTGGGACCTAGGACCTAGGACCTAGGACCTGGTGAATCTCAAAGAGAGAGCGTCACGTGAGACCCCATATACTTTACTCCCAGAACCTGGAGTCGGCCCCAAACAGCATACTTTGAGTCTACCCTAGCCCCCACGCCTTTTAAAAACCTCCCTGTGCTCAGAGACCAAGTGTTTTAGTATTCATTTTACAGACTTACTTTCAAGCAAATGGCCAGCTTTGCCTTCATTTCCTCCCCATGGGACCGCCTCTGTCTGGAAGAATAATTTACACTTCCTGGGTCTCCCTCATCTTTACATGATGATGACGGTAGTCATGATGATAAAAACAACTAAAGCTTCTATTATCCACCCTGGGCACTGTTCTAAGCAATTTATGCAGATTATCTCTTTCAATCCTCACAACTTTATGAGGGAGGTGCTGTGCTATTGTTATTCTGATTTTACAGATCAAGAGAGGGAGGGAGGCAAGGTGAAGTAATTTGCCAGTAAGTGGGTGGTCTGTCTGGTGTCCATGCTCTTAACCACCAAGGTCTCCAAGAATGGAATTCAAAGAGACCATTAGCCATCATTAACCACAGCTCAGGCATCTCAAACAAGCCATGCTAGGAAACACACATTTCCTCCCAAAGAGGTCAGTTTTACTATTTTGCATGTATCATGTCATAAAGTGGATATCCATTCACTCACTTTCTTCTCTATTTCCAACTTCTAAATCAACTATTTTGTCCTAAAGCAAACTGTTTCTTAAAAACCTATTCATCATCATAAAGTTTGCAAATTTTGTTTTGGATTGTTTTATACTCAGACCATACCCAGCTCTTTCCCTCTCCTCTCTACTCACTGCCTTCAGTTACTCTCTTTCATCCCTTAAAACCTTGCTATAGGCTGGGTGCAGTGGTTCACGTATGTAATCCCAGTACTTTGGGAGGCCAAGGTGGGCAGATCACCTGAGGTCAGGAGTTCGAAACCAGCCTGGCCAACAGGAAGAAGCTTCGTCTCTACTAAAAATACAAAAATTAGCCAGGCGTGGTGGCAGGCACCTGTAAGCTCAGCTACTCAGGAGCTGAGGCAGGAGAATTGCTGGAACCTGGGAGGCAGAGATTGCAGTGAGCCGAGATCATGCCACTGCACTCCAGCCCAGGCAACAACAGTGAGACTCTGTCTCAAAACAAAACAAAACAAAAAACCAAACAAAAACCTTGTTGTAACCTGCTCTGCAGGTCTTCTGAAAGTGGGTTGCCCAAGGATGGTAGTGGCCTCCAGAATGGTCTCTGCCATACTGTAAGCATGCTAGTTCTGCTCTGCATTCCTGTATCAGCCTCCTAGGACTGCCTAACAAATACCACGGACTGCACCACTTAAAACAACAGAAATGTATTTCCTCACAGCTCTGGAAGCTGGAAGCCTGAAATCAATGTGTTAGCAGGGCTGTGATCCCACTGTGCCCCTTCCTAGCTTCTGGTGGTTGCTGGCAATTCTCGACATTCCTTGGCTTGTGGCTGCAGCACTCCAGTCTCTGGCCTTTTCCTGTGTCTCCTCTGCAAACACATTTCCCTCTTCTTTAAGGATACTGGACTTAGGCCCCACCCTAATCAAGTATGACCTCATTTTAACTTGATTACTTGGTAAAAACCCTATTTCCAAATAAGGTCACATTCACAGGTTCCAGGTAGACATGAATTTTCAGAGAATGCTGTTTAACCCAGTGCAATCTCCAAAAGTCAAATAAAAACATATTGCCTGAGCTAAGGATGCAGAGGTGTAAGTCACAGCTCCAGCCCTCCAAGAAACTCTTAATTACAGAGGTAGTCCTTGCACTGAGAACATAAAGACAGGATTCACTAAGAGCCAACTAACTGGACCCAAATGACAATCTAGGGACCAAATGGGGCACAGTCACTGAGGATACGGCTACAGGACTGCACTCCAGGATGAGGGTGATTCAAGCACACCTGTGAGGGAGAAATAGAAAAAGCAAAGAGAAATAGAGAGCTTATCAGAAGCACAGCTCCAAGGGGAAGAGTGTGCCTGGCAGAATTTTACTTCTCGACTTTCATGCAGAAATGAAAGACTGAAGGGATGTAAATACCTACCATACTGAGTATAAGAACACAGTAAATTACTTTTACTGTACTTTTACTGTACTGTAATGTCATGGCAATTACCATGCTCTAAAGTTCTCTCTTCACCAGGCATGGTGGCTCACACCTGTAATCCCAGCACTTTGGGAGGCCGAGCAGGCAGATCACTTGAGGTCAGGAGTTTGAGATCAGCCTTGCCAACATAGCAAAACCCCGTCTCTAGGAGTTTGAGATCAGCCTTGCCAACATGGCAAAACCCCGTCTCTAGTAAAAATACAATAATTAGCCGGGTGTGGGGGTGGGCACCTGTAATCCCAGCTGCTTGGGAGGCTGAGGCAGAAGAATCACTTGAACCTGGGAGGCCGATGTTGCAGTGAGCCGAGATCACACCACTGCACTCTAGCCTGGGTGACAGAGTGAGACTCCTAAAAAGAAAGTGCTCTCTCCTTTTAGGATTTTCATTTGATCTTTATTACAATCCTGAATGTCATCAGAGAAAGGGACATCCTATTTTATAACCAAAGATCCCAAGGCTCAAAGAGTCAAGTAACTTGCACAGATCAAACAGCAAATCATTTGTAGAGTTGGTATGAAGCATACTGGCCTGGATATTCCTCAGTTAGGAATGTCCCCCTAATGTTGCTTCATGGGACAGCTTTCCAGTATTGATTGAATTGTTTTTGGTCCAAAGAAAACATTTAAAGAAAAAGTGAATCCTGCAAGAAATCCTAAAAGTGATGTGAATCTCAAACTGGAATTGTGAAAAACCTTCCCCAAACATCTGAACTGATTTCATTAAATCTGCTGAGGACTTGCAAGTGTATTGAAGTCTCCTTTAGGCCATCAGAGACTTAAACAGATCTAATGGGCTTCTGTAGAACTTTGCTGATTATCTTAAAGAAATAGGGGTTGACGGGAGGCAGAGGTTGCAGTGAGCCGAGGTCGCGCCACTGCACCCCAGCCTGGCGCCTGGTGACGGAGTGGGACTCTGTGTCAAAAAAAAAAAAAAAAAAAAAAAAGAGCCGGGTGCAGTGGCTCACGCCTGTAATCCCAGCACTTTGGGAGGCTGAGGCGGGTGGATCACGAGGTCAAGAGATAGAGACCATCCTGGTCAACATGGTGAAACCTCGTCTCTACTAAAAATACAAAAAATTAGCTGGGCATGGTGGCACGTGCCTGTAATCCCAGCTACTCAGGAGGCTGAGGCAGGAGAATTGCCTGAACCCAGGAGGCGGAGGTTGCGGTGAGCCGAGATCGCGCCATTGCACTCCAGCCTGGGTAACAAGAGCAAAACTCTGTCTCAAAAAAAAAAAAAAAAAAAGAAAAAGAAAAAGAAAAAAAAGAAATAGGGGTTGAATGAAACTTGGAGGGCACTCAGAATCACTGATAAGAAGTGTAGGGGAAGCTGAGTAAAAAAACAAGAAGTTCCATTACAGGATGGTATGCCAGCAGAAATTGACAACTGCACCTCAGTATCTGATCTCAGAAATGTGTAAAGTTACACACAGGTGACCAGATCTTGCCATGTTTTGAAGACTTTCTGATAAGGATCTGCAACTATGACTAGCAGCTGAAAGCAAGCAGGAAGTCTAGTGTTGGTCTGAGTATCTGATGATTTGATGTCTTTCCCTGGATTTTCCATTGCTTAGCAAGCAGGTAACTTACTGAGTCTTCTGCTGGCTGACTTTAAAAGTATATTTAAGCTTGAAATGCTTTTGATTCTAGTGTGATTCACTGAGTCTTGCTTGTGCAAAGTGCTACACTGGTTGCTATGGGAAAGTACAAAAATATAAAAGACAGTTCCTGACCATAAGAAAATCCCATCTAATTCAGGACATATGAGACATATAGAATAAAAATTATGTAAGTGTGGTTGCAATGGAATTTGTAAGCAGTTATCACTCAGTTCTCTGTTCAGATGCAACTTCTTTTTAACAGGCCTTCCTTGACTACGCTTTTTAGAACAATGGTCTGTCCCACCTCCACATCACCTGTTGGCCTTTTTCCTGCTTTATGACACTTATTACAATCTGAAAATTAAATTGTTGCTTGTTTACTCTGCTCTTAGACATACTATCTATGAGGGCATGAGCTTTGTCTTATTCTCTGCTGTATTCCTCATACCTGAAAAAATGTTGGGAATATATTAGGTGCTCATTAACTA